TATTAGATAAACCATAATATTCAATATTTACCTGTATACCACCTTCAATAGTCTTCCGCGGTTGGTTCTTATCTTTAAGAAATTCCATTAAGTTAGGGTGACCAGATGTCTCTTGTAAAAAAAGAGGACATTTTTATTTTTTACTAATATTATGGATATGTACTTTAAAATTATTCATAATATATAAAACATACTTGTGTTATTTATTTAACACAATTTTATTATACTCAGTGGGCTGATTGAAGCACAAATAAACAGCATATTAAAAATCTAACATATCTATTAGAAACAATAAAATTAAAATGATCGACCAAAACTAAACGCAAATTTAAAACATTTATTTTTAATCTTTTCAAACAACCTTAGAAACTTTTAAACATTATTTAGAATTGACTTGTCCATACTTGTCAGAACTAGATATTTCTTTTAAAATATAATTGTTTTTTTGATCTTTTAAGTATTTAAAAAAATCAGCACATTTAAAATGTTTAAAATTAAATTGAACCATCATAACACCCTTAATGTTTTCCAATAAGAAACGGTTGCGTTCTTTAGTCCATTGACTAGTTATAAGTGAGAATACTCTCTCAGTACTAGCGTTATGTCCTGGAATAGCAAAAAAAAACTGTGCAATTTTCAAAATTTCAGAAAATATTGTTATGTTTTGATTTGAAGAAAAAAACAATAAAAACTTATTTGGAGATTTTTCAAAGAAATATGTATCATCTTGGATGCTAATAAATGTTTTTAAGTTTTGAATCTGGTCAAATAATTGTACATCATCAATAAAAACATTTAGGGACTTTAAGAAAGTTATACATTCTTCAACTTCGTTGTAATCTATTGGAGCAGATTTCTGAATGTCCATCCATTTAAATACCTGTAATAATTTGAAAAATAATTTTTGATTAAAAATCATTAATAATCAAACTGGATAAATTGAATTACTTTAAATTGCATTAATGACATAGTCCATTTTTCTAAATAACTGGTTGTTGAGGAATATATACATAAGCAATGTCCAATAAAATTATCACAGGCAATTTCTTCTCCATTTTCTCTCAAATGTTTTATACGTGCTTTTACGGCCAAGGGTATAAATTTTTCTGTTGTTCTACCTTTTAGACTAGTCAAAATATTTTCAACTATATTAATTACTTCACAGATTGAATTGCTATCATTTTCTATTTTTTCCAAACTGTTATGAAAAGTACTCATCAAAGAATGTACAAAAAGTAAAAATGGTTCACTAAAATCATTTTCAAAAAAGTTTAATAGTGCCCTAGGTGTTTGGTCTTGTGATATAAAATATGATTTTAACGCAGGGAACATTTGCAAAATTCTGTTAATTGCAGGAAATAAACTTAACCATCTTGTTTTGCTGTGATACAGTAGTTCTCTGTATGTAATATCTGTAAACTCACAAAAGTCTTTCAGTGATTCTGTTCTAACTGTGTAAATAGAGAAATAATTGTAAATTTTAAGAATTATTGATTCAATATCAAACATATCAAATTGATCCACACCATGATGTATGGCATTGTGCAAAATATGAGCAGGACAACCAATACCAAGCAAATTTTTATTAACACTTGATTTAAGTTTGGAAAATATGTTTTGACCAGATTTACGATTAATGCCTCCAAAATTCGTGTTAGTGTTATCTCCAACAAATGCAACACATTTACTTTTTATGTTATTTTTATTCAGTGATTCCAACAATAATTCACTAACAGTATCTGAAGTTTCATTTTTTGTATTTTTGAGATCAATAAGTTTAACATTAATTCCACCATTCAAATAATCATAGTATTGAATAAGAACTGGAAACATTTTTGTGTTACCATGATTACTTGCATCTGTAGCAATACTAATAAAAGGTATGCATTTTAAACATTCAAACATAACTTTCAGAGAATGGGGTGCCAGTACATTATTTACAATTGCTTCAGTTTTAGTTCGTGCACAACTTAATTTTTTAGCAGTATTAGAGTCATCAAACATACAACGTAAGATTGCAGGCGTACAATCCATTGATCGAAAACTATGGTGATGTACAACTGTATGAAATGCGAGTGTACCCTCCACTGCACTAACTTTCAAAATTTCAGGTGTATTTTTGTTAATAACAAAATTACTTAAATTGTTAGATGATGAAACCGCAGAACTAGCTATTCTTGACTTATGTTTAGTTGTGTCTAAATGAGCTTTTAAATCATAAGACCCTGACAAAAATGTAAAAATACAAAGCATATTAATGAATTTAAAATATATAAATCTGTTTAAGGAAAACATACCTTTATTGGCAACTGAAACATAGCAATCACAGACGATACATTTGGCTTCACTAACGTCACGGCCATCAACAAAACTTTTAAATGATTCTTTCAGTCGATCATTGAAGACACATTTTCTCTTAGGCATTATTGTATTAACTATTAGCTATTTTTTTTTTTTTAAAAGTCTTGATTAATAAATATTTATTAATTATCTTGTTTTGGTCTTATCATTGTTTAGGAAAGTAAATTGGTTTAAATGTTTTTATATTTTATAGCATAATATTATATTATATTATATTGTTAATTCTAAAAATAACTATTCTGTGATATTACTATCTACAGGACCACAGCCATAATCAGAATTTTATCTATAATCTTGTGCATTACTCATGTTATCACCAATTCTATAAATTATTTTTTGGAAATACAATATCGTTTAAAACACATTTTACCACTGAATACAGACTCCGTGTAAAAAAGAGGACATTTTAACTTTTTATTTAAAAGAGCCCGGACAAACGAGGACACTCATATAAAGAGGACAAATCCTCGTAAAAGAGGACGTCTGGTCACCCTACATTAAGTTAAATCCAAACCATTTTGAATGGAATTCTTTTCCTGCTCCAGATTTGGTTGCTTTTTCATGTAGTCGTTTTTCTCTTGCATATTGAGAGGTAATGTTTTTTATTTTCTTGTCTATTGAGTCAGGAGTGGTCGACAAAGCTTCTGCAAATTCAAGTAATGCATCGGCCTTTTTGTACCTATTTTTGTAATCTGGACAACGCGCATCCCATAACACTGGTGATTCTCTGTACAGTTCTATCAACTTGCATGTGTCAGTAGTAGACCATACTTTATTTGGTTTACCAACCAAATCCATTTTAATGGTGACACCGTGGGAAATTAAAATTAAAACGTAAAGAATATATCACGAGAATTATAAATTACTATTTAGAATTAGTATATTTTATAAATTATGATAATTATGCGTGATAACTGATAATGCAATTGATTGTTCACTGATAATGAATATTGATAATGATAGTCGTGTGATAATGAACTCGCGAAGTGTAGAGGGAGAATAATGGTAGTAAACAATTTGTCAGATGTTGCAACACTAGTTTACACCAAATAGACTTATGTTGCCGAAAACAGAAACAAAACAGAAACCCTTTGATGTTTACCGCTTTTGAGAGGACACAAAAATGTCTCTAGAAACAAGAACATTGAGTCGCCAGAATCGATTTTGTCGCGGAAATGTTTCCATTTCGTCGGCGATTTGTCGCAGATTTGTCGCGAGACAGAAAGTTGCTGTTTTGTCGGCTTGGTGTAAACCCGGCATAAGACTTATCAAAAATCGTTATCACCTCCTACATTTTTGTTTTTTAACTGCCCATGACGTCAACAGGAGGGACTTCTATAAGTGATTTCAACGACATTGACGTCTGCATCGCCAAGTCTCAAAAGCCCCCGAGTTTCACAAGCAGCTATTTAATAATAAAGTGAATGTTCTTATATTATAATTTTTTAGAATATTTTGGCGCAAGTTTCAAAAATGAATATGCCAAAAAAACAAATTACCTTTAGTCTTATCCCCAAAATTGTTAGAGACTCGACACTTTAATAATAATAACACATAATAACACTTTTTAAACAATTTGAACTAAATTAAAGTCTAAGAATATTATAACATGCCAAATGGATTGCCACTCATGCCCCTTAAACAGGAATCGGCATTATCAGTAATATTATTAAGTGTTATTGTATTAGAGAATTGGTGTACCACTGCTTACCTAGTTAGTTCTTCGATAGTAAAGTATAGTGAGATGCTTATATACAAATAAACAATAGTTCATTTTGTATTAAAATGGTTGATATTATTAAAATCAATGTTGATTTATTGTATAAATTAGAATTAACAATTATGTTTTTGCGCTATTTAAATGGAATACACATTAAACCGGTGTTTATGGGGATGGTATTATCACAAATCTAGAGTAGAAGGTACAAAAAATACATAGGTACGTTAGTACACGATAGAAAAAGGTACATAATATGTAAGTTCCTACACGGTAAAAAACAGGTACGTATGTTAATTCCTACAAGGCGGAAAAGGGTACATAATATGTATATACACAATTAAATAATTATATAAGAATTTTCAAAAGTAAATATATGATGATTAAAAAATATAACAAAAATCGCATAATTCAACATTTTATATTTTATTAGGTTTATTTGATTATTTCTATAACTTAAAAAATTTAACATAATCGTATTGATTAATTTTGTTTGTTGTGTAATCTGAAAATTTTTCATTTATGAAATCTTTTTTTTCGGCGTATTTTTTACTGATTTTTGGTTTTGTATTACTATTTGTGGTTCTTAATGTTCTTATATTAATATACGTATTTACTTGAAAAAGTTTGAGAATTTTAATAAAAGTTATATATAAAAGGTTAGTAGGTTAGTATATAAAGTTTCAATAACAAATTTAAATTATTATATATTTATATTATATTGATGGCGCCCAGTGGCGTGGTGAACTAAAAATTTTCCAGAGGCAAATTACAAGTACCTCAAGTACCCACCTAACACTATTATTTATTCACGTCGGTGAATCGATTTAAATCGAAATTAAAAAATCGACCGATTTAAAAATCGGCTAAAATGAATCGATTCTTTTTCTTTAATGTTTTCAATGAAACTGAGTAAAAAGAATTAAGGCGTATCCTTTATTCCTCTCAAATTCATATTATCAAATACTATTTTATTTATTAATATAAAATATACATACATATTTTATACAAATATTTTTAAGAATTCATTGTTATAAACAATACATAATTATTATTGATACATTTGAAAATATACAATTTTTAAAATGCTAATTTAAGTTAATAACAAACATATTTACAAATAATATACATATAATTACATTATAAATATTTACAAAAGGCTGTACAGATAATTACATTATAAATATTTACAAAAAGCTGTACAGATAATTACATTATTACTAATCTAAATTCCAATCACTTTCTGAAAGAGATCCTAGGAACAGAAGCTTGTTTAGATGTTCACCCGTCAAACGATTACGACTATCAGTCATTACCTGCCCAGCTTTTGAAAATAAGCGTTCCGAAGGAACTGATGTCGCTACCATTGATAAATAGGGGTTAACAATTTTTTTTAAATAAGGGTAAATAGGCCCATGAAAGTCCCAAAATTTTAAAACATTTTCACCTAATGGCAGAGTCGGCTGATTTAAATAATGCTTTAAATCAGTTGGCATGTTATTTCTTATACTTGTTTCGTCTTATGTTTTTTTATTAACGAGCTCTTTATGGATAGACCATAAATTATCAGTGTCTTCATCATTAGAAGAATTGCCTGTATAAGAACTGGTTTCATTACAATCAATTCTAAGATCTACAATTTTATTTTTTAATGGTATTAATGGCTTTAGAACAAGCGATAGCATCATTACAATGGAGGGTTTTAAATCGTGGGTCAAGAATGGTAGCTATAGAGAGTATTTCTAAAAATTCGACTCTACCAAACCGTGATTTTAAATTTTGGTTAGGTACTATTAGCACTGCAACAAATCAGGTAGGGCACGACAGTAATTGAAATTAGTATTTAGTGGATAGGTGCTCTAGTTGAAATCTATTAAGGTTCGAGCTCGGTCAGTCAACTGTTGGTGCAAGAGGTTCAACAATTTGTGTACAGTGTACATCGTCGTGTCATACGTAAAGCTTTTTTTGTTATAGATACTGTATTGTTCACAGGATAGTTGAAGGTGAACATGATGTTTGCGTCAAATGTTATAGTGTCTATCATGGCGTATTAATTGGGGGGTCGATGTGTAATAACCTATGTATGTCATAATATTATCAAAGGCTCGTTTCACATTACGATATCTGTATGTCTGCTGTATCGCCTGTATCCACTATATCGATCTCTGTCACACGAATCGTTTCCTAATCGCGTAATTTTATCTATCATTGAGGTGTCGTAGTTACCCGATAAAGTGGAGTGATGGAAATAAGATTTTTGGCAACAGGCACTGCGACCGACGTAGACTAATTTCATTTCTCAACCAGCCGTATAGCCGTAGAAGAACACAGCGTAAGTAAACTTTGTGATTATTTATTAGATACATATTGGGTTATAAGGTCACCTTGAGTCACGTGCTTTTTGTTTTTTACTTTTGTTATATGTTATATGATTTTTACTGAGTGTATTTTAATATTTAAACCATTTTTTGAAAAACATTCCGCTAAATTATTTTATTTATTACAAATTATTATGTCACTAATGTATATTGTCTATGGTTAGTAAAGGCCACGTGTTTTGTTTTTTTTTTTTTATCGTAAATTCATAATTATTTGTAATTTTATAAAATTATAGTATAGTTAAAAATGTGTCTGTGGTCATCCAAATAGATATTTAAAAACCAATTTATGAAATATCGTATAGCCGGCTTTTACTCGACACGTGTGCATTTGAATCAATGTAAAATGTATTCTTTTACGTTAAGCAAAGCACGTTACATGGCCATAGAGTAGTGGGTGTGGAAAATATTTTTTTTTGTTAAATTAACTTATGTATATAGGTACTCTATGGTTAGCGAAGGCCACGTGTTTCGTTTTTTTTTTTTTATCGTAAATTCATAATTATTTGTAATTTTATAAAAATTAGTATAGTTAAAAATGTGTCTGTGGTAACGGATATCAATATTGTTGAACATCAGTTCGTGAAATGTCGTATGCCTAAGTGTTTATGTAATCAATCCGACACGGTGCGGCAATAGAAGATTACCTGCGAAAATAATATATTTTATTTACATTTTGTTTTTGTGTTGTAGAATGAAAGTAACAAACTTGTACCAATTTTAAGGGAGGGGTGTGCATGTGCACAACACCCCATATAATCCATCACGTGGAGGTTCTGGTGCAGGAGGAAGAGAAGTGAGTAGATTTTTACCAAATATAAATTTCGGCTAAGGACTTTTGATGACATGTATTTATTTTATGTTTCAGGGTGTTTTCGATGTCGGCAAACCGGGCATATTGCCCGCTATTGTCAAGGTGAGTGTGTGTACCACGACCAATTTTTGTTATCATTTTTTAATTTTTATTATAATTAAAATTTTAATGAATGCCGTAGCCCAGTTAGATTTGCCGCCACCGCCACCGCCACAGCCACCAGAACCTCAAAAATCTCCAAGCGAAGCAACCGTGGACACCGTCACCAGGGGGATGGCCACGGTTGCCGCCGCAAATGTAATTACCTAATACAAATTTCTGATAATTGCTTACGAAAATTCTAATTCTATCATTTTATGAATTGCAGGTGACTGTAGAAGAGGAACATAGTAAGTTTTCAATTGGACTACATTAGTTGAATACCATGTTTTGTCTAATATTTAATTTATTTTTTTATATGTTTTTCAGATCAAAAATAATAAATAAATTTTTTTTTCACTTGGTTTTTTTTCTTTCAAACATGTTAGTTTCTGTGTTTCTTAGGAACAACATATATATAATGTTTAGTGTGTTGGTAATTAAATGGTGAAGTAGGTTTTCAAATATATGACATCAAGTGTGGTATGGTGTTGTTGGTATTTATTTATTGAACGTCCACAATGAAGCGTTGAATAAAGAAATGAATGAAATCACACAACAGTCTAATAATGAGAGGTAGCAACAGTGTGAAGAATTTTATAATTTTGTTTATTCCTAAAAAAAAAACATCAGTGTTCACAGGTGAAAACCTAAAATTATTGAAGGTCACAAATCATAGCATAGGGCATGAGTGTATCAAAACAAATACAATCCGATTAATAGAATTATTACATATATTAGTATATTAGTGATGTAGTATATACATAAATGAACTGCTATTTAGATTGTTCTACTGTATAAATTTATGGAATCTTACATAGTAGTCAATTGTGTATTAGAGTTATTCATAAAAATCAGATGCAAAGCATAATGAAATACATATTTCAGTTGTAATTGTTGTATATATGATATATAAAGATGCATAACGACAATTGCCAGTTAAATACAAACAACCATTAAGAGGACGTTATACCCAAAGCGTTACGTATGCAACGGCCAAGAGAATGCGCTGTTAAGTGTTTTCGGGATCCGCAAGCGCGCGACGTCTAAGCCACGCCTACTACTTAAGAGTACGCAGTCGGTGGCACTACACTACTACAGGCACTGCTCATTCCGTGCCGTCTCGGGAGCGCTGATCATTATTTCATGAACGTTCGACCAAGGCGTATCGCGTCAATATAAAATTTACACACGTAAACGCCGCGGTATTATTTTCAAGAACCGCGCGTACCCATTCGAACTATTTATTTTTTTAAGTTACTGCTTACCTAGATACATGCACCAATTTATAGATTGTAAAAACTGTAATATAACATACCTTAATTTGTAGTTATGACACTATTACTCATTCAAATATAATACATACAGTATAATATAATTTAATAGTACCTAAATAAATACATATTTTACTGTTGTATTGTAATTGTTGTATTTAATATTGTACTGTTCAATATTATCTTACTTTTTTAATATGATAATAAGGAAAAACAAACATTTTTTCAATTAATAAATAATAATACCTTTAATGTATACTCGTAGATACGATAATAAACTCTAAAATATGTTTTTAGCTTTAGCATTCGTATTCTTTGGAGACTGGGTCTACCTTTACTGCCTCAAATCAACTAACTTAAATACATAGTTGTAAATTATGTAAACAAATGTAATATAAATCGTACCAAAAAAAATACACAAATATTTTAGCTGCTTACCTAAATATATGTATCAATATATAGATCGTAGAAACGGTATTATAATATATCTTGATTTGTATTTATTGAAGTATTACTCATTCACATTTTAGTAAAATATAACTAAATAAAAAAACCATAATATTACCTAATGGTAATCATTTAATTATTTTAAAAAGAAACAAAAACTTTTATTTAAAATAAATCAAATACAGAATATTAATTAAAACAATTTTGTTTTGACTGTTGGTCTTACTGCCGATGTTACTGCCACATTTTTATTTGGGTCTCGTATATCAGATATCATTAAACGATGTTTAAAAACTGGATCTACTATTTCTGGTAGTAAACATTTTAAATAAAAACTAGAAAAAAAGCATTTAAACCATTAACACAATTACAATTTATTAATTTAAATAAAATGAGCAAACCCACTGTTTTAATTTATCGATCATTTTCGACGACCAAAAATCATGATTATAAAATATTTCTTCGACTGATGTCCAGTTGGGTGTATATATTATAAAATAACACATTTTCTTTTGTGTTATATGGAGCTGTCCCTGAACTTGGTAAAAGTAATCATGTGTAATTTTTAATTTTAATTTGCCATTTACAATTGTACAGTATTTTATCTATAGAGAAATTAATAAAATTTGTATAAATAGCAATAGGTAAGTAAGAATTACATTTCTATTTTGTATTACTAATTAGGTAGGTATACAAAAGTAAAATTATTCTTTATATTAAAGATACTTACTTTACCACTCTCTACAGCTTCATTTATATTCAGTGTATCTTTTGCTGCATATGGCGCTTTGATTTCAACAATAGAATTATCATCAATGATTCCATCTAAATAATAATGTTTGCAAATTAATGTTATTATCAGCTTATAAATTACTAACTGATATAGCTAATTTAATAAATGGTAGACTTACCAGGACTTGCACCAAGAAATGAGTACTCCAGATCTATAAATAAACCACATGGCACTATTTGAAGATCATACATATTTTCAAAATATTGTCTTGCAATATTTTCCATATCCCTACCATACTGTACTGATCTATGAAATGTTAACTTTTTACTGAATCTATTTATTTTTAAAAAAAGTAACACATTAATATTGTTATACTTACTTGCAAGTGAAATTATTATACAAAATTGAGTATATGGTGTTTTTGCAACTCGTACTTGGCCGCATCTTACAAATGCGACCAAAATTACTAGCTGTAAGTCTTGATAACCGTTCACGTTTCCATTTTTCACTAGCTCCTTGATCTCGGGTCTCGATTTCAATTTTTGATCGATCGACGTCGTCTAATACTCTATACAATAATAAAAATAGATATAAGTTTACCAATTGTTTGTAAAACTTTGGATACCTAATATTAAAAATTACCTAATAAATGCATTCATTTCATTAATAAATTCTGGGTTGTCAATGTTTCTTACATTATCCAACTCATCAGCATTTCCATAGTCCTTATCAGCTGTAGTACTTCTTTTATTGGTTTTTAGAACTGTTTTTTGAACAGTTTGTCTCCTTTTTTGACACATGTTGCGTTTGTCTAGAATGCGTTTTAAAAAACTTTTTCCGATTTTGCCTAAATCAAAGCATAATAAGTTGGATAAATTAAAATTTTATTTCTATTTATAATAATTTTATTTAAAAATTACCTGGGCTAGTATTTGTCATGTGTTTTTTAATTGCACGCAAATATTCTTTGGAATTAAAGCTTATAACTGCTGCGTTTACTCGTGTTGTGTAGGAACTTTTCTGGGTAAAATTGATTCGTTTACCTCCTAAAAACTTATTAATTGTGCTGTTCAATTGTTCACAAATATTATTGTCTACGTCAAGTATCAAACTATCTGCGTTTTTTGATAAACGAGAAACAATAATATTAATTTCTCTAGAGATAGATGTATATTTTCCGATGACATTTAATTTTGTGGACATGTTGTTTTTTTCTTTACAAAAATATGTAGAACATTTTTCATGATTATCAAATAGTCGATGATATGGTGCGTTGGATATATCAAATCTGAGACCTAAAATGTTATGCAAGTTTTAATTTTAAAATATTTAATTCCATGCTTGAAATTATTATTACATAGTTATACATTTATAAATAAATATTAAGCATACAAATTTAGATTCTGATTTTTTCGTAAGCTGTTAAAGTTCAATTTTATTTAATTTTTCGAAATTCATCAAAAACAAGAAATATTGCATATTATTTTAAAGTTAAAAATTCAATACAAGTTTGTTTATAATTTTTACTTAAAAAAATTTTAAAAAAATGCACAATTTTTACTATGATACAAAAAGTAAGTATTAATCGTAAGAACTAATGAAACCCTCACCAGATGTTTATATTGTCATTTTTTATACATAATATAAGAATTTTTGAAAATATTTTGTAAAATGTTAAACTATTTAGATACCTATAGGTATTATATTTTTATACATAAACGTTGATATAACAAAATGTTCACTCAGTTAACATTTTGAAATTAAATACAAGATTACACATAGCAGTACTTATTCCAGTATTTAAAAAATTTAGAAAATACATAAAATATTACATAGTTTTACCTGAAATCTTTTGAAATAGTGGCTTGTTTTGTTGATTATGAAATTTTATAGCACAAGTTATGTCAGTTCTTAGCCGTATAATGTTGTTCTGTATTTTTTTTCTAATATCGATTGGAAAGTCTGTTCTTTTACTCAAAGCCATCATTTTTTTTGAATAGTTCCTTAACAAATGATTCCTACATTCAATTTTTTGCACTCTCAATGACGGCCCATATGGAAGTATCTCATTTAGTCGCTTTATAACGCTACTGTCCCCATCGCCTAAATTACATATGTATAAAATGTAATATATTTAATAAAATTGTGTTATTTATAATATTTACGTGCTACACTAAACATTAAATATATACGTTATTATTTTATATCCAGATTAAATTAATAAACTTAGAATATATTTATATTTTATATTATTACCGATCAATTTAGAAAATTTAACTCCATGCAACTCAACACTTTTTTTAAATCCTTCTGCAACTCCATCGGCTTCAATACTTGTTGCTCCTTTTTTCCAGTTCATAAAACACAAATGATTTGGAATTTCAATTTTTTTATTCAATGCTCTCTCACATGTTACACAGTAACGATTTCTAATTCCGACGAATAAAACTTTTTTTGTTTTATAACCAATTATACTTGCCTAAAATAGAAATAATATTACCTATTGTTCACTTATTTTTTTAAAATCAAATGCTTATTTCAATATTTACTACTCCAGATAGTGCATCGTATTTTGTACTATAACTTCTTTTCGACCACTGACCGTCTGTCACTACAGTTATTAAAGGAATACCATCGGTATCAATGTCACCGGATTCAATTGCCAATTTCTTCTCTTCTTCGCCGGCTTTTTGCATCTCACTCCACGCAGTATTTTTAATTTCGAGTTGTAGACTATTTTGTATTGAAATATATGTTGCAGGGGACATTGATGGTACTTCTATTCCAGAAAAAAATTCGGATAACTGTGTATAACCAATTCCTAAAGAATATTTTCCAAATGATTTAAAGTCACTATTTTTTATATTATATAATTCATAAATATTTTTTTATTTGTATATCTAGCTTACTTACCTATTGCAATAGAGCTACTTACAGCAGCTTTATTGATGGACCAATTTTCATTGGGTATGATTTTAGTAGAACTAATTTTTTTTTCTAAATTACACATTTTGCATTTAAATATAAAATCAGAATAAAAACCTGTTCGAATTTCATTTACAAACTTCATGTTCATAAAATTACAATCAAAACCACTGTCATGTTTGATATTTTGTATTTGAAAAAATATATGAGACATGTCAACTATTCTAAGTCCATCTATTTCATTAGTCATTATTCTGAAATTATATACGTAGTTATTGTATTCACTTATAAATGTAAACATCCTTATTTTATTTTAGAATTATGTTCAAATTTAGAAAACACACTCCATTGGTGAGTTTTTGATTACTAGGTCTTTGACGGTTTCTAGTTTATGTAATTCGATATTTTCACACGATAAACTAACAGTTGATAATTCATGAGATTCGATATTTTCATCTGCCCAATCTAATGAATTTATCCCGGTAATATCAATGTCACTTGCAATTGCAACCCTATTATTTAAGAAATTAACTATATATTATAAAAGTATCTAAAATTTAAAATGCAAAAATGCAAAAAAATATAAATTGTAAAAAACAATTTACCTAGGAATTATTGGTGTTGAAGTCGATGCATGGTATTCCTGGGAAGTCTCTTCTATTCTCGTTTGAATAGAACTTTTGATATACATAAGTTATATTAATTAATAAGTTATAAATAATGTATACGTTTATGTTATATGTATAGAATTTTATATCATTAGGAATTACAAAATGAGTTAACATAAATATATATATTATAATAAAGTATTTATTGCACAAAAAGAAATTAAATTAAATCAAATTAAATCTGAAAATTATTATAATTACAGTAGTCACTCGATAATTCGAAATTCGGAGGACCGAGTTAAAAATTCGATTTATAGAGGTTTCCAATTTACCGAGTGTTCGAATAATCGAGAGAAAAATTAATTCGAATTAAAGAGAAGTGAAAAATTATTTATTTATTATTATTTATTAATTTATTATACATTTAAATTATTATATTTTCTTCACGTATCACCCATGAGCTTTCCACGTACCACAGCCCACAGGTTGAGAACCGCTGCAGTAGAGGAAACTGATTTAAAATTGTATTTTTTTTATCAAGTATATTTTATTTATAGGTATTTTGAATATTCAATATTTTTGGTCAATCTATATGTACTTGAAAGTTTACTACATGAATTCACCTAAGTTGTTCTTACCATCATTAAAATATAATATATAAAATACATATTCACACATTTTTTTATAGACATTTGAAGTATACATATTTATTTAAATTATTAAAAATGTGATTTTCACAGAATAGAATTATTTTGATTTAATTATTGAACGGGTAGAGCACCAAATATTATTATTTTAATTTATTTTTCTATAAACGTTCAAACATCTAATGAAAGTATTTACATTTTTAAAAAAAAATAATATATAAATGATAAATATATACTTACTTTATTTGTTTGTATCGTCTTAGTGCGAGGGAACTAGAGACTTTTTTTTTGGATGACCGTTTTCGTTTTATTTTATTCTCTTTGTTTGCCATTATCAAAAAAATTAAAATACACTGCAGGAAATTTGAAAACCACGACACAGAAATCTCGAAGAAATTAGCTGATCGCAAGTCACAACGAATACTCCAGAAAGAATGGTCGGTTGTGTGATCTGTTTCCTTACTCATAAGTCACAAAAACTCAAAAATGACTTGAATATTTATTTTTGAACAAATTATTAGAAATACAGCTATTATGGTCTCATATTTTGACTTTCGCTATGAAATTCGTAATGACTAAGAAGTAGACCGTGTTGATTTATAATTTTTGTTAAATTTGTTTAATAATTATTGGTGTAATAGCCTTACTTATATACAAATATATAATAATAATACTAATAAGAGTTGGTAGGTCGTAATTGAAATGCTGCTAATCGTCATTTGTCAATGCCCAATGCCGTTTATTATAATATTACATTACAGCGAGGTTATTATCTTATAATAATAATATTTCTTAGCTAATATCAGCATTGTCTAAATTATACATTAGTTCAGTCTATTCTTGGAAGCGTCCGATAACCATCGACCGACCGTCACCGCGTCACCGCGCGACAGCCGTAGACCGTAGTAATAATTCAGTTTTTAGAGTAGTGGGGGAAATTGCGGCCGACATCACAACGGCAGGCAGGTGGCAGCACATTACAGCTATGAAAATCTAAATCGAACTACGTAAACATGTTTACGGAAAACAAACAAAACAGCCTTAAAAAGTGATTTTAGAGCAAAAATACCTATGATGAGATTTATAGAAAACAATATTTCGGAGACAACCTCATCGGGGTTTTGTATTATTTTAAATATACAGCTCGTTATAAAAGGAACAAAAACCAATTTTTTTACATTTTTTAAACAGCAGTAACTTTTTTAATAATTAATATTTCAAAAAACGCAAATGAGGTTGTCTCTTAAATATTGTTCTTCATAAATTTCATAATAGGTAATTTTGCTCTAAAATCATTTTTTAATAGCGTTTCGTTTGTTATTCGTAGACGTGTTTTTACCACTAAATATTACGGGTATAACGTCCTCTTAAGCGTGCAGGGTACTTGTAGTCAAAATAATAATAAGGATATGCACAAAAAGATGAATATAGATGATGTGCAAATAAAATGTCACAAATCATCGTAGTATACAATAAGACTGTGTTAAGAAGAAACATAATCTGAATTATTATGATACAATCACATATTTATACAATTTTACATATTAATTTGTGTTTTAAATTAACTATTACAGACATAGGGTGGTGTATACAAAACAATTATTATATTTTAAATGTAAGTCGTTAGTTAATACTATACTCTATGTAATCTAAATCTAAATCTAAATCTAAATAAATGAATAACTCTTGAGACTGTTATTAGGTAGGTAGGTACATATTTACAACTATACAGAATACAAATGTTAAAAAGTATCAAAAACATTTTTTGGTAATATATATCCTAAAATGTACAAAAAAAAAATTAAAAAGTTAAATATTTTTTAAAACTTAACATTCATTTTTGAATGGTACCTTTCAACTCTGATTTTTTCCATTTTTGTATCCATAACTCAAGTTCTGAATTTAATAAGTCATTGTTGACCTCTTGAAAAAATGGATATTTATCTTTAATGTATTTAACAATAATTGAGCTACTATTAGTCTCAGACCATTTAATTAAATTGTTTGGTACTAGATATGTTAGCATTTTTATAGTTTAATTTTCTTGGCCATAAAATCTTTTTTCTAAGTCAGTTATTACACAGTCTAAGAGAGGAATGAAAATTGTGATTCTGAAATAGTCTTCACAATTATTTATGTTATTTGGATTTGATCTATTTTTTTGATGAGCTGAAATCCTAGGCATTTTCAAATGAATGTCCAATTCATCCATTAACATTTTGCATTCATTATAAATGATTTGAAATGTTATATTACAGTTTAGGCGATTATGTTTAAGTACAGAAACTATATCATCTATAACATTACTAGCTGCTAATATATCATGGTTTATTCCTTGTAATAATTTACTAGCATGGAATGTAACTGAGAGTACAGATGATAAGGAATATATCGAAATAACAAACTCACAGTTACTTATCGAGCATAAAAGTGTTTTTGCTTTAGAAGATGATGACAGATCTTCCCAGTTAGTTATCTCTGTTAAAGCATCAATAATTTTTGGTAGTGAATTTTTAAATTGCATAACACTATCATGCCGCTCTACCCAGCGTGTTTCACATAAACTTACAACATTATTCTTTAAATACTTTTTCAAAATAAAATTACGTTTTGCTGAACTATTAAAAAATGTTATTATTTGTTGCATGATACCCACACTATTTCTAATGGCTTGTACTGTTGATGATTTTGAAATAGATAAGTTAAGTGCATGATTATGGCAAGGACTGTATACTGAATTTTTAGCAGATTTTTGAACATGTTGAACGGCTCCTTTTATAGTTGAAGTCATTGTTGTACATCCATCAGTTGAAATACCAATACAATTATTGACGTCTAACTTTAAATCATGTAAAATATTGAGAACTGTTGTTCCTAGTAATTCTCCACTTAATTTAGGTTCAATTTGTTGTTTTGATATATTTTCTAAGTCCTGGTCTTCATCATCTTCATGTTCATCACCATATATATTTTTATGACAGTTAACAAAAGAAATAAAACGTTCAAAAACTTTTCCAGATTTTAAGTAACGCACACTAAAACTCATTTGGGAAATTACTGAAACATCAGTCGTTTCATCAAAAATGATGCTGTAATATTTTGCTTCTTTAATTTCATTTGTTATAAAAGTAGTTATTTCTTTTCCAATGCACTGAATTAAGTTGTTTTGTATTGTATAACTTATATATGTAGCATTTTTAGAAGTAGACATAAGATGATGTTCAAGATTTGTATCGCCAGCATCTATTCTGAATTTGAGGAGTTCCCTAAAATTTCCTTGGTTAGTAATTGACTCGGTGTATGAACTAAAATCTGAAGATATAATTTTGGATAAAAGTTGCCCATCATCCCTGTGGCCCCTAAGTGCAATATTTTGACGTCCTAGGAACAATATTGACTTAATTATAGGTACTAAACGTTCACGATTTTCTTTAACCCTCGGCCGCCCGCGCCTGATTCCCAGACCCCGGCACCCGCGGACGGCACTCAGTGCCGACACCACGGAATTTGTTCTAAATTTGTTAATAACTCGCTTATTAATGGTTTTACAACAAAAACTTAAATACCTCGTGAATAACTATAAAAATCTTTTTGAATGTTGATTTTTAAACATTTGTTACTTCAAACAAGCACTGTGAAAAATCTCAAAACAAATACGTAGTGTAAATATCTGGTAATTATAAGTATAATACCTACTTTCAGAGACTCTTATCTACATTAAAATGGCTTATAGTGAATTTAATATGCACAAAGTTTGTAGTTTTTTCATTTTTTTATTATATTTTTATCATAATTTTGAGAAATGTGATTATAAAACATGAATATGATAGATAAACGTATTTATTGATAAAACTAAAAATTATACTTTTAAACTTTTAATAAATAAACTTTTATAACAGACTTTTTTACAAACTACAACTAAACCTTTTCTTAAATTTTAATTTTCCATACTTGATTCTGAACTTTCAGAATTTTGACATGAGTGGCACTTGATTATATTCGTGCAATGTTTTTTACAAACAAAACGAGTACAAAGGGAACATCTAACCGTAGTTTTGTTGTTTTTCCTTGTTCCACATGCATGACAAGCTCCAGATCTCGGTAGATTCTCTCCTTGAGTAACAGAGCAAACATCTTCATTTTTGTATTTAGCGAGAAAGTACTGTACATCTTTAGGAAGACCCTTCACTTTGGCCCTTTCTTTCAAATGTTCTTCTAAGAGATTCGTGGCGAGCCTTTGAAGAAACGGCAACCTTCGAAATTTGCGATAATCGTACATTGATATATTATTGGCAACGTATAAAATATGAGAATTTACCCCAGCCATATCCAAGAAACGGAAAAACAATGCAAGCGGCCATCTTCTAGTATTCCGAGCTGTTGAAGCTACCGAGCACTTTTGGTCAACTGTGTCTACTCCACTTTTTGTTTTATTGTAATCATGGATGATTTCAGGCTTTCCGGTTTCTTCGTTTATGTCACCAGGACCATCATGCATAGT